ATTCTTATTGTGTGTGTGAACAAGCAGTGAGGACACACACGGAACATTTAGTTCTAGTTTCTATTATTCATATCTGAATATAACAACCCAATAAATACTACAGAGGAAACGGAAACACTGAAAATATGAGCGTCGGCAAAAATCCCTCCGCATTACGCCCTCATCATGAAATGAAAGCTTTGTAGTTTTCTGAGGTCAGAATGATTATATAAAAAAATCGAAAACTAGCTTGTTGTAGGACTAGTACCAATGAATGGAGCAAGTTTCATGAATGTGACACTTTTATTTTGTAAGATAGCAAGGGGGGGCATATTGTGATAACCAGGCCTGTCATAAAATGCACCCCACCCAAAAAGATGTTTCTATTATTCCCACCCTCAAGCATTTTTCAGGGTATAGTTGTAGGATTAGTACCAATGAATGGAGCAAGTTTCATGAATGTGACACTTTTATTTTGTAAGATAGCAAGGGGGGGCATATTGTGATAACCAGGCCTGTCATAAAATGCACCCCACCCAAAAAGATGTTTCTATTATTCCCACCCTCAAGCATTTTTCAGGGTATAGTTGTAGGACTAGTACCAATGAATGGAGCAAGTTTCATGAATGTGACACTTTTATTTTGTAAGATAGCAAGGGGGGGCATATTGTGATAACCAGGCCTGTCATAGAATGCACCCCACCCAAAAAGATGTTTGTATTAATCCCACCCTCAAGCATTCTTCAGGGTATGGTTGTAGGACTAGTACCAATGAATGGAGCAAGTTTCATGAATGTGACACTTTTATTATGTAAGATAGCAAGGGGTGCATAACGTGGCAAAAATGTGCTGACAAAGACTATGTAACATTTGTAAACATATATTTTGATTATTATATGACAAATATGTAAAATGAAACAATACATTTTAAAGCACGTGTATACAGACAGGACGTAACAATAATAAGAAAAAAAAAAGATTAAAAAAAAAAATAACTGAAAAGGAAGTGACGAATGAATTTCGACACCACTACCATCAAATACGGAGCGAAAAGTTTAACCACAAGAATCAAGACTATATGAGCTACCACTAAACAACTCACAGTCTGAAAATTACCATTAATAAAAACCCTGAACGTTTACTTTTCGTTTTAAACATCGTTTTAAGGTGTAAACGTGTCATTTAGAAATGCGCGTTCCCGTGACAAGGGGGGCATTTCATGATGGGGGTGCATAATTCACAAATGCCTGATTGAAAGTTGTCAATGTTAAAGAGATATTCACAGATCTTTTTTTATTTGTGAAAATATTTAGTCTATTTGCAGATCCGTTTTACATTTGCAAATTTATTTGTGAGTTTGCAAATCTTTTAAATGCATTTGTGGATGGTGTTTTACATTTACAAATCACATATTTACACACAAATTATTTTTCTGTTCACACAAATAATTATGAGACATATCTATGCCCATAGAAAAGCAGTTTATAAAACCCAAATCCCCAAAAAGCATAATAGGGCCCCTTTTTAAACTGACGTAAAGTCACAGAGAGGGATCACCACTTATTACACTTCATCCTGAGAACATGAATATCAAACATGTTGCTGCTTGGTCAGGGTTTTATAATGACTTTGATTCATTCTCCGGGCATGTCGTGTAGTGTCGTGTACTGGCCGCGGCCGCAGCTAGACCCTTCTCGTGGAGTTGGCAACACTGGTTGTCAGGCGCGAATTTTGTATCATTTGAAAAAGCGTTACTGCATTTTCTGTATTTTCTCGGAACTAAACGGTAAACGCTACAAAAATGACTGACAACATGTTGACCGGAAAGGAGGCCAAACACGAGGCTAAGAGCGATCTTATCTCTGTTCACAAGGTAACGCCCGTTTACTGTTATTACTGTGTGAGTGATTCTATAATTTAGGGTGCATTTCACATCAACAAAACAGTACAAAGAAAGTGTTCTTTCTCAATAGAACAATCAGTGGTTCAAGTTAGTATATTCCTCAGTGTAACATATCCACTAGTTGCAAAGCTTAAACATTTTTTTATTTTATTTTATTTTAAGGGAAAGGATGTTTTCACTACTCAGTTTGTCAATTTTACGGACAAACTTGATGTCATTACAATCATTTGATTAAGTCCTGCACTTCAAGTAAAATCAAATTTGAAAGGCTCTTGAGTCCATTCTACCATATATCCAAAGATTTTTTAAAGTTTAAAAAATAATTGTATTAAAGTTTTGTTTTTTCATGTGATATGTTCAGCACTGTCATTAAGTTTAGGGATATTTGTATTATAAAACTACCATACAGGTCATTTGATAGTTTTAAGAGATGTCATGTAAAACTCCAACCTGTGTTATTATACATTATACTATAAAGGATATCAGAAGCACTATTTTAGATGTTTTAAATTTGAAAAAATGAGGTGCAACATAGTTGACAATGAAAGTCAAACATTTGACGCAAATAACATGTGATTGTGTGACTGTGTCTGCAGAGACAGATCGATGAGATCAAAGACCCGAAGCAGGATCGGCAGAGGCTTCTGGATGAGATCCGCTCGCTGGAGAGCAACAACAAGGATCTGGAGAGGACCGTCTCTGGATACGAGACCAGCCAGAACAAGGTGGCTTTAGACTTAACATTCAAATCCAGCATTGGTTTTGATATACAAATAAATACAATTTTTTACAATGTCCGGGGCGGGAGATTAATGTGATTGATTGTTGGTCGCGAGCCAGATACGCCCACCGGCAAGCTTCAACACATGCTGCCGTGTGGACGTACCGTTAGAGAGACTGGCAGAAATACATAAATAGACAAACAAAAAGATTTACTGTATGAATCACAAAGAAAGTATAAACATAAGACCCTGAAAAAAGTAAAGGAATTAGACTAAAGGCTTCCAATTAATGCAAAATGTAAGGTTTTTGGTCAGTGGGGAGAATATTACCTTAATTGGTCATAATTTGTCTTGAATACATGTTAAATGAAATTAATATTTTTAATCTAAAGTAGCAGCTCAAAATACTGAGTAATTCCTTTTAAAAAAAAATGTATTTGATAAATGCTAAAAACCCGGATAGCGAGTGTGCGCAGAATATTGATTTAAAAACAAGTCCTAAATCTAATTTGCCTTAAACGATACAAACCCTGTATTGACAATGTCTGTATGTAGATAATGAGAATATAAGCAATTTTTCATTTTAAGTGAGTGAGTCCTCCCCTAAAACTCCTTCCCCCCAACAGGACAGGAGAACGTTTTCTAAAAACTAAAACAGTCATTGTCCAAACGTTAGTGACCAGGAGCTTAAAGTTAAAGGTCTCCTATCATGCTAAATGCACTTTTTGATGTCTTTTAGACATAAATATGTGTCCCCGGTGTGTCGGGGAACTCACGCAGCGTCAGAAAATAAAACCCTCTCTTTTCCTCCATACCCAAATCTCTAAAAACGGGGCTACAACGGAGCTGATCCAGATTTGCGTCCGATATAACGTCATATCGGAAATGTAGGCTAGCTTTACACCCACGGCCCTATGAGAAACGTTGCTATCAGAAACAATGCCCGACTGTTTTGGACGTAATATGGTCGGTGTTTACATTAGCATCGCTAACACTCAGAGCTAACCTGTACTGGAGAGCATGTGTGTGAAGAAGCAGGAAATAAAAAGGAACTCACCTTGTGGTATAACCGGCAAGAGAGAAAGCCTTTGAGCTCCATACTGTTTCAGAAATAATCCTTGATAATCCATGATATGGCGTTTCATCACGGCAGCATTTAGTTTAGACAGTAGCTGCCGGGTCCCGCATGAGCTCAGACCCCTCCTTTTTTATTTTGTATCAATTTATTTTTATTTGTTAAAGCTTTATACCCAAATCAGCACTTTTGAAACAGGAAGTGAAATAGAGGGATATGAGGCATGGCTAGAATGGGTGATCGGTTTGGTATTTTGAGCAAAACACTTCATAGACATGTTTTTTATATATTTTTATACATCTGAGACTATTGCCTAAAAATAGCATGAGCTATGTGACCTTTAAAGTAACTTGTAGTAAACAGAGGTGGGAAGTAGTGGAGTACAAATACTTTGTTACTGTACTTAAGTACATTTTTCTGGTATCAGTACTTTACTCAACTTTTTACTTTTATGTTGAACACAAATACCTGTACTTTCTACTTCTTACATGTTGAACACAAATACCTGAACTTTCTACTTCTTACATTTTGAACCCAAATACCTGTACTTTCTACTTCTGACATTTTTAACCCAAATACCTGTACTTTCTACTTCTTACATTTTGAACACAAATACCTGTACTTTCTACTTCTCACATTTTGAACACAAATACCTGTACTTTCTACTTCTTACATGTTGAACACAAATACCTGTACTTTCTACTTCTTACATTTTCCAAACAGGCTGGTTCCTTTAGTTTGAATGTGTGTTTAGTGGCGTGATCATTATTATTTAGAGTCATTGCGTGCCTATTGATTTGAACACGATCCGTGTATCCATCATTTCCTGGTCTTCTCTAAAGAAGAGGGACCAATGAAAATGTTGTCATGTTGCCGTTGTTCAGCATGGAAACATTCATTAGCTAACAATGACATTATTGTTCTATTAATATAAAGGGAGGTCAGGTACTCTTTAAAACAGATGGTAGTTATGGATACTTTTTACTGAAGTACATTTCAAAGCCCATACTTCTTTACTTTTACTTTAAGAAGTTTAGTCAGTACTTCTACTTTTACCAGAGTATTTTAAACACGAGTATCTGTACTTCTACTTGAGTAAAGGATGTGTGTACTTTTGCCATCTCTGGTAGTGGGTAACAAAGACACTGTGAGTCTCAGAGAATCTGTTTCTCTCTGCCTGCATGGTTTCAGTGATGAGATGTTTCTTGTGTTTCAGCTTCAGAAGGAGCTGGTTAAGGTCGGTCACAGCAACACTCAGCTGAAGCTCAGCGTCTCCGAGCTGAGGCTCAAAGTGAGGAATGGAAACAAGGAGATGCACAAGATGGCGCAGAAGGTGAGAAACACTTTCAAACACTATAGAGGTTAAAATTAGGAATAACAGAGGATTTTAGCAGTCAGAACAACTAAAGCAGTTAATAACAGAAACGCCAAATAGTCACATCTAATAGAAATGTATAAAAGCATTTATTTTAATTGTGTAGCAGTCAGTTTATAATTTTGGCAGCACTGTTGAGCATTTTGAAAATGTATTTTCATGCCTCTGTGCAAGGCTTAGTCTTTCTATCTTTATAGCCAGTGGTGTAAAGTAAGTTCATAAACTCAAGTACTATACTTGGGTACAATTTTGAGATACTTAATAATAAATAAATTAATAATTAATTTAATTTATATAGCGCTTGTCATCTGCCAAGACAAATCTCGAAGCGCTTCACAGCAAAGGACACTGATACAATTTGAGACATTAAACAAATAATAATAATAATAATAATACAAATTAAAAATGTAAACAAAATTAAATAAAAATTAAATATAAAATAAAATAAAAATAAATAAATAAAATAAAAGTCGGAGATAGCGATAAAAATGGCAATACTCCAGGTGTACCATGCTCAAAGTTTATTGGAAGGCCTGCCGAAAGAAGAGGGTCTTACGGCCCGTCCACACAGCAGCGTTAAAAAAATCTTGGAGGTGGGCGTATCTGAAGCTTGGGGATTTTTGCGAGCAAGGCACCAACAACCAATCACATGAATCTCCCGCCCCCGACATACGAAGCAAAAAAGCCCGAAGTAAACTGGATATAAACTCTCCAAACAGGAGAAAAACTACCACTGTCTCTGCCACCTCCCTCCATGCCTGGCTCCTCCGGTTTTGCTACTTTGTTCTTCTACTCCTCTACAGTTCAGAGGTAAATGGTGTACTTTTACTCCACTACATGTATTTAATACCTTTAGTTACTTTACAGATGTGGATGAATGATGTGAAATCTAATCAAGTGTTAAATCAGACTTTAGTTCCACCTGGAGTAAATTCACAAGCTACTCTGTAGTATACAAAGTCATTCAAACTAGCTGCACCTTTACCAGCTTTGAGAACACTTTCATGATCAATCATTATAAAACATATCATATATATTATTCTGAAATGGACCAATCTGCACAAAGACTACTTTTACTGTCGCTACTTTAACTATATTTTGATGAGAATACTTTTCTACTTTTACTTGGGGAACATTTTGAATGCAGGACTTTTACTGTAACAGAGTATTCCTACACTCTGGTACTTCTACTTTTACTCAAGTACAAGACCTGAGTACTTCTACTTTTACTCAAGTACAAGATCTGAGTACTTCTACTTTTACTCTAGTACAAGATCTGAGTGCTTCTACTTTTACTCAAGTACAAGATATATACTTATACCACCTCCGTTTATAGCCTATGAAAAAAACTATTTGAAAACGAAGGCTAAAGCTAACGTTAGCAGATAGTGACAATGTATGCTAGTTAGCGAGCTCAACGATTCATTAAATAATATTGTGACAGAAAAACTTTTCAGTGCACATCACGCTCTGCCGCTCCGACAGGGAGCTCTGCTCTGAACACCTGAACGGCCCGTTCTAACAGCTGTTCACCAGCGGTCCAGTCTGTGCCACAGTGACTCCGGACCGCACAGTTAATATTAACGAACGCACCGTAGGTAATGTAGCTGCTGAAGCTAGACCCTCATCCCGGAGCAGCAGAGCCTTATTATACATCCATGAGCAGAGCCGACAGGCAGGAAGACTCGAGCACACAGCTCGCGCTTCATTATAATATAAAAAAAAAAGAACACCATGCGTGTCATGATGGCACATAACAGCTCGCGGCCGCAGATTACTCCGGGTCCCAAAATATTCAATCACACAAACGACCTATTTTGGATTCAAAACGGCGAATTTTGCCGAAAGGTGACAAGTTTGCATCCCTGATGATGATAGCTTCATTTGATTCGCTGCTAAGCAGAAGGGGATGGACAGTAACACAAAATGGTCTTCATTAAAGAAGATACTCACTTTATTTGTCTAACTGATGAAACATTTTGTTCATTTATATAACTAAATGCCAGGAGAAGTTGAAATCAAACCGATCATTTTGGCTCGAAGTTTTCCTTTAACTTTAAAACTAATTTATGCACCGCTTTGTTTCCAGTGTAGAAATTATTAAAGACCCCAATAACTCTTTACAGTTACACATTCCCAAAAGAAAGATGTGGTTAAAAAATGAAATATCCTAAATGTTTTGTGCGTCCAGCTGAAAGACCGGGAGACACATCTCCAGCGGCTAAAGGCAGACCTCCAGAACTGTGTGGGCTTAATCCAGGAGCCCAAAAAACTTAAGGAGAGCATCATGAAGATCTACGCCCGATATGTTGCTGACGGGGTGAAGGTTCAGAGAGAACTCTTTAAAGTAGAGACATTACATACTGATATACACCTGAACATCAGCAGGAGAGGACTCTTTAAAGTAGAGACATTACATACTGATATACACCTGAACATCAGCAGGAGAGGACTCTTTAAAGTAGAGACACTACATACTGATATACACCTGAACATCAGCAGGAGAGGACTCTTTAAAGTAGAGACACTACATACTGATATACACCTGAACATCAGCAGGAGAGGACTCTTTAAAGTAGAGACATTACATACTGATATACACCTGAACATCAGCAGGAGAGGACTCTTTAAAGTAGAGACATTACATACTGATATACACCTGAACATCAGCAGGAGAGGACTCTTTAAAGTAGAGACATTACATACTGATATACACCTGAACATCAGCATAAGAGGACTCTTTAAAGTAGAGACACTACATACTGATATACACCTGAACATCAGCAGGAGAGGACTCTTTAAAGTAGAGACACTACATACTGATATACACCTGAACATCAGCAGAATAGGGGCTCCTAAAGAGTGCAGGGGTTAAATTCGGTCCCAGTCTCATTGGGAGTCTGCTTGTGTTGTTTTCTAGGTGGAGCAAAGTGACGTTGAAGGAGAATTTTATAGGGCTTTCTGTCGGCAGCGTGAGCATATGGAGAAAATGGTCAACGGGCTCAAGACCAGACTGGCCAGATCTGGTAGGCAGCATGATCAGGCCTATGACAAGATCCAGAAGGTAAGACATGCAACAGATTTAAAATCTTGGAACAATCCTAGTCTATAGTTGTATTCACATGACTCGTCGCCCCCCCGCAGAAGAACGTTGGTCTGACCCTCATAATAAATGAGCTGCTTAAAGGAGCTGCTTCTGAAGAATGACTCCCAACTCCTCCACCGTGCAGAGAGTGCCATCATAGCAATACTGGATCAATAAAACAATTTGTAATTGTTTCCATTATAACTCATTATTTCACAGTGGCACAGGATCATCTGCCAATACAAGCACTTTGGTTCATGTTCAATCCATAATAACATATAAAATTATAGTTGGATCTTTTTGTCTTGTTATTATTAGCAGAGAAAATGTAACGTTTGTTCAACTATATACAACTAGAAAATGCATTTCCTGCAGAAAATGCGTGCGAATGCTGTAAACTGTGAACATTTGTGGCTGAATTTAGCTGAAAATGCAGAAAAAGCTGAATATGTTATTAGCTGAATGGTAGCTGCTTTTAACTACAGAGACCAAGTCAGTGTGTTGCTGAACTTAGCAGAGAAATGCAGAAAAGTGAAATGATTTGAATCAAATTGTTACAGCTCAAATGCATTGCAATGACTTCCATGTTAAAAAAAGACTTTAAAAAGCTGAACATTTAAAAAAGTATAACATATTTAGAAAAAGTTGAAAGTTTCCCATCATGTGTTGAAAAGGCTGATTGAATCAAAATTGTTACAGCTCAAATGCATTGCAGAGTAGGAAAAATAGTGAAGAAGCTTAATATTTAAAAGAAAAGGTTTAAAAAACAACATTGATAGCCTCATTGTCCTGAAATAGCTGAATAAGTTAATAGTTGAATGGTTTCTGCAGCTGAAATTAGCAATATGGTCTAGCTGCGGCCGCGGCCAGTACACGACACTACACGACACGCCCACCTGACACGACACTACGGTGGCTGAGAGACATTACCGTACATGGCAGATTAAAAGCGAATTGACGACACTTATTATTATTGAGATCGTACATGGCAGATTAAAAACGAATTGCAAATGTTATTGTAGCATTTTAAGCAACTATTAGGCAAATAAATTAATAACCTAGTCTATCCGTTTGAGACACAACAGTATAACTTTCAACCCAAATCATTTTGTCAACAAACGGTGGTTTAGTAAACTTTTTTTTAATATATAAAATAGGTATTAATGAGATAATCTATTGATTATGTTTGTCTAACTGCTACACATGTATTTTATACATAAATGTAGATATTTGTGAACATCTAAATATAGTTGTTAAAGGTTTTAAGATATACATAATCACATCATGGGGTCATTAAGGAACAAATTAGGATGAGCAAACTATGGATAAATCAAAGAAAAGAAAAGTATCGGAGGAACACAGGATTTAATTCTGCGTGGTTAGAGTTATCTGCTTTCACAGCAAACGATGCTTACCGGGATGTTTGATATGTGGAGAGAAGTTGTCAAAGGTGCTGCAGCCTTTGTATCGAGGAGAAACACGGAAGAGGAAGACAGCTGACGATCTTCATCATAATTCAATCAGTTAACTATTTTTAGGGTGCAGCTATAGGTTTTATTTATTTCAAAGTGGGTACATTTTAATTGTATTTCGTTTCCTTCAAATGTGCAGAGGACTCCCCAAGTGCTGTGTTGATTCATTTGAAAGTAGGCCTGTGTATTTTTTTAAATTCTCCTTATAAGAGTTCTTTGTTTCTTATTAGAGGTTAACAGTTTTATAATGTAATACATAATAAATGCAAAAAAACTGTAGTTTGTGTCTGTGATATAACAATAAATACAACTTTATAAGCTATCAAATATGTTTTGCGGCTCCAGACAAAACAAATAGTATATATCTATAATACCTGGATATCTGGCTTGATGACTGTCTCACTTTTACATTTCATGTCAATAACCTGCTTAAAAAGCTGAGGGTTAGGCTAGGTTTCTTTTACAGAAATAAGTCCTGTTTCTCGCTTGAGGCCAGGAAAAGGCTCTGTGACCTTTTTACCTGTGCTGGACTATGGTGATTTGTTATATATGAATGCACCTGCCAATTACCTGAGCAAGTTAGATGCTGCGTATCACAGTGCACTGTGCACTCTCTCTCTCTCTCTCTCTCTCTCTCTCTCTCTCTCTCTCTCTCTCTCTCTCTCTCTCTCATACACAGCGCTGTAAAACACTTTCACACAGAACCAGGCCGTTCTCATCTCACTTGTTAAGAATGGCCACCTATGTGATAATTGCTTTCTCTATTTATGGCCATGGGACAGGGCGATATACACAACTATTTTAGGCAGATGCTCGATTCCAGGACACAAAAAAAAGCACCAAAAAAATTACAACACCTCATGTGTAGGTTTTGGGATGAATGCAGACTCATATTCCACCCACCGGAAACTGGCCAAACATTTCTCCCAGCAACTCTCCCCCTGAGGTTGTTCAAAAGGTGTTAGCGTGTGTTTGTCACATCACTTGCAACTATGTGAGTTAGACTCTTGGCTTGTGCTGCGCTGTTACATCAGCCTGTCCTCGTTTTACGTCTCCATTGAACCTAGTGCTCTTAAATGTTTCAGTAAGACTGCAAGAATGTCAAACTAGCTACAGGGAGATGTATATGTCGACCACTAAATAACTACACCCTTTTACAAAATATGGATGTTTTCTCTTATATTAAAGCTTCTGTTTGTGACTCTTGTTGTTGTCCTCTGCCTTTTGTTCTGCTGTTGTTTGTGTGATTCAGGGCCCCTGGGCAGAGAAGCTCATGCTCGCTGCTATGGAGCGAGGTCATTGGGTCTTCTTCCAGAACTGTCACCTGGCGCCCAGCTGGATGCCCTCCCTGGAGAGACTCATTGAAAACATCAGCCCAGTAAAGGTCAGACCATTACGCATTGATCACATGGTATGTGCACTTTTGTAGTATTGTGAGTTGATCAATTCCTTTTATTGCTTGTCTCATAACAGGTGCACAAGGACTTCCGTATGTGGCTCACGAGCCTTCCCAGCAACAAGTTCCCAGTGTCTATTCTCCAAAATGGGTCAAAGATGACCATCGAGCCTCCCAAGGGAATCAAGGCCAATCTACAGAAGACCTACCTGAGGCTCACCAATGAGTTCTTCACCTCCTCCACAAAGGTCCGTCTGCTCCTGCTTCATATCTGGATCCACTCAAATGTTAGATTAGAAAACCAGCCATTTTGGATCTGTTTAAACATCCAGCATCTAGTGGTGACTTTAACTTCTCTCCTCTCCTCTCCTCTCCTCTCCTCTCCTCTCCTCTCCTCTCCTCTCCTCTCCTCTCCTCTCCTCTCCCTTCCCCTCTCCTCTCCTCTCCTCTCCTCTCCTCTCCTCTCCCTTCCCCTCTCCTCTCCCTTCCCCTCTCCTCTCCTCTCCTCTCCTCTCCTCTCCTCTCCTCTCCTCTCCAGGCATCACACCTCAAGGCTTTGCTTCTGTCTCTGTGTCTCTTCCATGGAATTTCTCTGGAGCGAAGGAAGTTTGGCCCACTGGGCTTCAACATTCCCTACGATTTCACAGACGGAGACTTAAACATCTGCATCAGCCAGGTCAAAATGTTCCTGGACGAGTACCAGGACGTCCCGTACAAGGTGGGGGGAGGAGAACTCTTCTGTCTGTATTTAACAACCTGTTAAGATAACAATACCTCAAAGCCACATCATTTGTAGTCACTCTGTGTGTGTTTGAGCCTGCTCATCTGTCTGTCTCCCCTTCTTGTTCTGCACCTGTCCAGGTGTTAAAATATACCGCAGGGGAGATAAATTACGGCGGCCGAGTGACAGATGACTGGGACAGACGATGCCTGCTGAGCGTCCTGGAGGATTTCTACTGTCCTGCTGTGCTGGAAGACGGTCACTTCTACTCTTCGTCTGGAGTCTACCGGCAGATAGACACAGATCTGGATATCAAGGTCAGATAAACGCAGGGTCTTTAAAAAGATTGTGATCAGAACACTAATCCGTCTCTCACTGTTCAGTTTAATACATGAAAAGTCTTTAGGGGGTATATTGCAAGACAGCCATCTATTAAACATGAAGATATCTTAAATTAAATAACATGAACAATTATTATTCTACAAGCAGAAAACATGACATTTGTATTTTTCAAATTAATTATACCATCAGGTTTTTAACAGGCCTGAGCTTGATAGAAAAGTAAACATTAAACATTTTACTATAAGTAACAGTTAAATAAAATAAAAACTTTAAAATGCCAAATAAAATAAAGTAAGGGAAAAATAAAATGTACAAATCAAATGTGATATGCTACAGAAACTTATGAACTGCTGACTATCATAACCTGTTGCTCTGAAAATCTTGCTTTAGGGTTACCTGGCATACATTCGTGGTTTGCCCATCAATGATACACCTGAGATCTTTGGTCTCCATGACAACGCTAACATCAGCTTTGCCCAAAATGAGTCCTTCGCCCTGCTGGGAGCTCTGGTTCGACTCCAGCCTCGAGCTTCATCTGCCGGGGGCAAATCTCTGGAGGAGGTAGCGTTTTTTTGTTGCCGAACACTGTTTAACAGCAATTTGGTTGTGATGTGTTGTGTCTTTAATATCTAGACTACATGTTGGGTTTCATTGTTGATGTTCCATGTTGTAGATAGTGGAGGAGATCGTGGCAGGCATCGTGGAAAAGATTCCTCGGCCTTTCAACATTCAGGACGTGATGGAAATGTTCCCGGTGCTCTATGAAGAGTCCATGAACACAGTGCTCATCCAGGAGGTCATCAGGTAATGTTAGGCTGAGGACTAACCACAGTCCAGACCACACGTCAGGTGTGCTTCATATAATAACACACACCACTCCGCTCTGTTGCTGTACACTTATGATCAGGTGCTGACACCGACACAGAGGGAAATTCAGATCTGCACAATCTTCCTCATTCTATCTGTCTGCCAAAAATGTAATCATAAGAAATGACTCTGGAAAAGCTGCAGATAGAGCCATAAGAAATTAATGTAACTGATTATTTAATGTTTAATGTTGTTTTTATAGGCAATAATTTAAGCTTTGTTAGTTCTAGGTTTAATATGTGCAATAAGTTCATTTCAATAAGTTTTGCAATAAACATTGAACCAGTCCGGCCCTCGACTAGTACCCATTTTTTAATTTTGGCCCACTGTGTATTTGAGTTTGACCCCCCTGGTCTACACAGTTTAACAGTCCCACTAGGATCAACTTGGACCACCCCCCCACTAAAAAAAATGAAACGTTGACTTAAATTATGTTCATTCAGAAGCAAAAATATTAAGTTAAACTAATTTGAACTTGATATTTTTGCTTTTAACTAACCTAATGCAATTATGTACAGTAGAACCTGTTGACAATATACATTTAATAAATGTCAATGTTTCCATTTTATAGTGCAATAACTCATCTGATCAAATGAACATGTCCTTTACTATTCTTTTTAATATATTTATTAGATCAACAAGCAGGGTAATTCTTGCTATCGGTGCCACACTGAAATCATTTAAACAATATCTAGCTCATAAAAACCTCAGCCAAGAGCCCAGAACAGATACGTGTTTCTTCCCATACGTAAAGATATTTTACTTTTAAGGTAAAAATGATTAACTAAATATGTAACCATAACTCTATTTGAGTCCAGTAGCAGCGGCTGGACAGTTCCACAGTTACAGCCAGTAATCATAATCACAGAGTAGTGGTGACTTTCACTTTTCCTCTCCTCTCCTCTCCTCTCCTCTCCTCTCCTCTCCTCAGGTGTTGTTTTCCTAGTGCTATAAACAAGGTCTGAACATGTTTTTATTACATTTTGTGTACAGTTTCCAACTTCTTAGGACTTATCAAGAAATTAGTCTTACTGTTGTCAACTCCATCGGTTGTTAGAAATTATAATTTTGCTACTTAGATGTGTAAGTATATCTGTCAGATGTATAAGCAGAATGTAATTTAAGTTATACCAGGGTGTAACAACAGGTTGAACATTATTTACAGGGTAAATTCCCATGATATTTATTTTACACTTTTACTCCCCCGTAAGACTTGTTTAAGAAGTGTTTATGTATTTGTCTTTGCATAACTCCATTTAATTAATAATTGTGAAAATATTGTGAATGGATGACACGTGAATAACTGATTGGACTGAATCAGGTATGGCCAGTTTAAATCGGTTGTACTTTGATAACTAGTTATTTGTGTTTTTTCAGATACAACAATCTGCTGGCGGTCATCTCTCAGAGTCTCGGAGACATCGTGAAGGCTCTGAAAGGTTTGGTGGTGATGTCGTCTGAACTGGAGCTCATGGCCAGCAGCCTGTTCATCAACGTGGTGCCCGATATGTGGAAAGCCAAGGCAAGACACACACACACACACACACACACACAGGTTATTGACCTTCTTGATCTCACGTAGTTTGGATGGGATCTTTACGTTTTTATTAATTTCTTTTCATACATATTCATACATAATGAAATAGTTTTTGCCAATAATCTATTTTTTACAATAAAACATTACAAAAATAAAGACACAACAGAACCCCCCCCCCCCAAAGGAATGGCTCAAAGAGAGTCAACATCAAAAACATTTAAAGACATCACCTTTCAAAATCGTAAGCAAATCTATAGTTTTCTCAGACACACTTTCAATGGATGGGATGTTTTTATAAATTAAGCAATTCCGTAGACAATATGGATAACTTCAAAGGGACGCACACTGAGTCAAGATAAAGGTATTAGATGTTTTGAAGGTATTGCACGTGCACAGATTACAGCAATGGGCCTTTAACTGAAATAATATTACAACATCCATCTGTGTGTGTCGTACAGTTGGGGGTGACACTTGATCATGTGGGAGTGATTTCAGTGAACAGGGAATCAGATGAACTTCTGCTGACATTTCTGTCCTGCTCTAATAATTCCCGGCTCTACTTTCTAAGAATAAACATGGCGTTCTTTGACGGGCCATGTGTCTCCCTCCCTCCAGGCCTACCCGTCCCTGAAGCCTCTGGCATCCTGGGTGTCAGACCTGATTCAGAGGATCAATTTCCTGCAGAAATGGATCTGTGATGGCATTCCACCTGTTTTCTGGATTAGCGGCTTCTTCTTCCCGCAGGCTTTCCTCACAGGAACGCTCCAGAACTACGCCCGCCGCTCTGGCATCTCCATCGACACAATTGGATTTGACTTTGAGGTCAGACAGTGAGATGTTTGTCTGACAGTGCTTTTGCAACTATTTTTTCACTACTAGCTAAACTACAGCACTACATGTTTTCAGCAATAATATATCATTTATACAAACACACCAAATCTTAATATACTATATATTGTTAAACAATGTGCACATTTTTACTCAAATGTTTTTGTTTATATAAATATTTTTATACTGTTTTATTTAATTTGATATTTTTTTTAACGTTTTTTCATTTTTTTTTTTGCACATTCTTACTTGAATTTCTTATGTTTATATAAAAAAAAGTGTATCTTTTATTTTATTTCATTTTAAAATGGAGCAACTGTAACAAGACCCAATTTCCCCCGGGGTAAATACAATATTCTGAGTCTAATGGATTACGCTTTCCCACTCTAAACTGACTTGTGTTTGAATATCATCGTATGGTCAATTTCATAATATTTCAAAATATATATATTGATTTATTTTTTGCTGACTGTTACGATGGTATATAAGGGCACTCCTAGGTTAAAACAAATTAAAATAACAGAGTTTGGAAGGGGTCATAATACGACAAAAAACTCAATAGATTACAATAGTTTTTTATGAGAAAATAAACATGAATATTCTCTTGTCATACATTTGTGAGAATAAAGCTCAATGGCCCACCTACAATGTCCCCGATATACTTTAGTTCATCTCTTTTGTAATCCCTTCTTCCCATCAGGTGATAGAGAAGTTGGCGTCAGAGATAACAGAGAAGCCAAACACAGGCTGCTACATCCACGGCCTCTTCGTGGAGGGCGCTCGCTGGGATAGTGAAGCGGGTCAAATCACTGAATGCAGGCCCAAGGAGCTCTACACAGAGATGGTTCTGATCAGGCTGATCCCCGAACCCAACCGCAAAGCCCCCACCTCAGGGGTCTACATCTGCCCCATCTATAAGACCCTCACACGGGCCGGTCATTCCACCAACTATGTGATGGCAGTGGAGCTGCCTACAGATCAGAGTCAGAGTCAGAGACACTGGATCAAACGGGGAGTCGCCCTCATCTGTGCACTGGACTACTGAATACACACACTCTTATTCATACACAAAAACACCTGTATATAACTATATATATATATATATATATAGTTATATATATATATATATAGTTATGTAAGATTATTTACTTTGAGTCACTTGGCTAAAAGGAATCCTGGACCATACATCCTCCATGTTCTAAATCTCTCCTCCTTTACTCTCATTATAAGCCAAAATGAGCTTTTTCCTGCTGGTCTCCACAGTGCTCTCTGAACTGAATACACGTCGTGCTCCTTTAAGACTTTCACACTGGGCAGGTTGAGAAATATGACTTAACTGTAGGAGGGTGGTGCTTAAACAAACAGTGACAGTGACTAGCCATGTGAACACAACTGGAGGACTCCAGAATCAGATCAACGGGCAGCTGAGATCAGCAGATTATCTTCACCACTGCTCAAAGACTAAAGACTCGATTCTATTT